TTGTAATGGCATTTGTAGTGGAAACCATTAGAATTTCTGTGATGGTTTAAATTTTTTTTTTTTTTTTTTCAGCAGGGAGGATAGTTTGTGGTTTGGTCTTAGTGACTTAGGAGTCCTCTTCACTACTCCTAACGTTTCACAGATTTAGGAGATAGTTTTAGTGCTAAAACGCTTTGTGAAATACTCATAGAGCAAAAATTTAGAAGTCCTAAATTTAGTATTGACACAGCCATTATTTTTAAGATTTTCTCCTAAGAGTTATGAGCTACTTTTAGCCTTAAGATGTTTTGTGAATACAGGCCCTGAATATTCAAATGATTTCTGGAGGATCATGTGACTGGCAATGATTTCAGAGCTTCAATGTCTAATGCCTGCAGTGATAAATCAATGCCAGCTTCATGTCTTTGGTCATGCTGTAATAGCATCATAATGCAGAATATAGATGGGCTTAACAAAGTGAAGGGCCTGTGCACTTATCTATAGTCATCTATACTGTTATGTGGAGAGGAGAAATTCTTGCATTAAAGGGAAAGTTCACCCTAAAATGAAAATTCACTTATTATTTATTGATCCTCATGTTGTATAAAACTTGTGACCTTCTTAATCTGTGGAATACAAAAGGAGCATTTTGAGAAATTGTACTGGTCACTCTGTTTCATGCAATTACAATGAAATCTTCAAAAAAGGTAAAAGCACCATAAAAGTATCATAAAAGAGAGCCATATAACTCATTTGCTTTATTCCAAATCATCTAAAGCCATATAATAAGCTTTGTGTGTGGAACAGTCAAAAATTTTAGACCGAAAGATTTGTTCTAGCACTACTTAGTGCGTTATATGAACAAATCTTTCTTGAGTTAGATATTGACAATGAATCAGTTGATCCAGTTCACAAAGGCAGCCTAAATGATTTGTGAATCAGACTGATTCAGCTCACTGACTCAGTTTGAGGGTTGCAGCAGTTAACTATGGTAGCTTGTTTCCGCCACAGAATAAATAAAAAAAAAAGGTAATTGCGACTTTTATCTCACACTTCTAACTTTTTTCTTAGAAATTGCAAGAAAAAAGTCAGAAATGTGAGATAAATACTAAATCAGAATTCATCCGATGCCGGAAACAAGCTTCCATTGTAACAGCTCATTGGAGGAGAATATCATCCCACAATGCTCGTGTATGAATTCAGAAGACTGTGAATATAGTGCACAAGTCATGTGGACCACTTTTATGATACTTCTATGATGTGCCCTTCTTTAAGCTTGAAGAAACCATCACAGAAGTTCTAATGGTTTCCATTACAAATACCATTACAAACATTACAAGCCATCAACTGTTAACCATCAAAATCATTATCTAATGGTTTCCAGGAGCAGTGTTGCTAAGTTTGCGGTTTTCAAGTGGAATTGGGCTACTTGTACAGTTGCCATGGTTTAAAGGTTTGACATATTGCATAAATTTGTAACCATGATTTTAAAAATTAATAAAAAATTGAGGATTCTTTTATAGAGTTCAAAAGAACAAATTAAAAAAAAATTATTTTGGGAATGGCATATGTTGAGTTTTGATATTTGGATACGGTTTTTGGGCTTGTATTGGGCTATTTTGATTGTCCCTTGGGCTGGTTTTATTACATAGATCTGGCAACCCTGTCCAGTAGTGTGTTCTGGCATGAATAGAGAGCAACAAAATATGAGTAGAGACCCGCAGGGACCATTACAGTTTCTATTTAAACCAATACAATTCCAATTCAAACCATTTAAACCATTAAGATTTTTTTGAGCATTTCTATTGGATTAAATTTTTTTTTTTTTTTTCAGCAGGGAGGATAGTTTGTGGTTTGGTCTTAGTGACTTAGGAGTCCTCTTCACTACTCCTAACGTTTCACAGATTTAGGAGATAGTTTTAGTGCTAAAACGCTTTGTGAAATACTCATAGAGCAAAAATTTAGAAGTCCTAAATTTAGTATTGACACAGCCATTATTTTTAAGATTTTCTCCTAAGAGTTATGAGCTACTTTTAGCCTTAAGATGTTTTGTGAATACAGGCCCTGAATATTCAAATGATTTCTGGAGGATCATGTGACTGGAGTAATGATGCTAAAAATTCAGCTTTGAAATCACAGGAAAAAGTTACATTTTAAATGTTTTTAAAACATTTTAAAAAACGTATTTTTTCATCTTAAAAATATATTACAACCTATGCTCTCAATGTCAAATGCAGAAACTTTAATTCATATATTCAGGACCTCAAGGTTAGATTATTGGGTCCCACTTTATATTAAGTGGCCTTAACTACTATGTACTTACATTTAAATTAATAATTTGGTACAATGCACTTATTGTGTACATACATGTTTTTACATTGTACTTATATTTTAAAAATACCTGCATGTAATTACATCTGTAATTAATTTCTGTAATTACATTTATAATTACACTGTTGACCCATCCCTTACACCTTAACCCACCCTTAAACCTACCCATACCACCAAACCTGTCCCTAACCTTACCCATATCCCACCTCAATAGCAACAAAAGTGTTTTGCAATACAATGTGAACACAATAAGTACATTGTACTTATTTTTTGATGTAAGTACATAGTAGTTAAGGCCACTTAATATAAAGTGGGACCGATTATTGTAATGCTTTATTGGGTGGTTGCTCTGCACACTTAATAAACAAACTCCAGTTGGTCCAAATGCAGCAGCTAGAGTTCTTACTAGAACCAGGAAGTATGACCATATTAGCCCGGTTCTGTCAGCTCTGCTAAATTCAAAATGTATTCAAATTAATCAAATTTGGTGTATTCAAAATGTGCATCGAATAGTTTGCAGAAAAGATTTTCCCCCTCAAAACAGAAGTGCTAATTTGGCTGATATATGGAAATGTTGTGTACAAGATGTCTTTGAGAAACCTGAACCCGATTGACTAGGTCAGATTGGTGTAGAGTTGGGTGGCATTTGAAATCAAAGTGAAACTAACTAAAAGAACAAAACTCACTCCAAGCTACACTAATTAAAGCTTTTAAAACATTATTTGATGATTATAGATCTGTATTTTCAGAAATTATATAAGAATATCTGTAAAAGAGAAGAAATGTTTGTTGTAAATGTGCAAAGATCTGCACCAATTACATTACAGATCACAACAAGTCAGCTGAAATGCCTTACTGCAAATCATAAAACAAACCACAAACTGGTTTTGCGATTTAAATGAAAACAGGAACTGTACTTTAAGAGTCCCAGCCCTTTAACTTTCCATCATTCTCAGAGGAAACCATCTGTTGTTTGAAGAAATGACAGTAATCCGTGACTAAAAGAGTACTGGGAATATTTCAAGCAGCCCTGTTTATTTTACGCTGGTTGGATATAAAGAGTTAAAGATTATGGCTGGCTGATATTTCTTCCTGTACGTCGGAAAGGATGTATCAACAAATTCCACACCATAATCTGGGGAGACCAACATAGAACGAACATCTATCCTGAATGGACGTAAACTTTATTACAAGTTTACAAGAGAAAAACTAATTCTGTTATATACAGGTATAATCTAAACTCTTAAACACGAATAGAAGACTGTCCAGATCCAGCTACAGTATGAGAACTTCTGGATATACGGCTTGACACAGAAGGTAAGAGAAAACTCAACGGCAAATACTTGGTATTAATTTTGTTTCATTAGATATATGATCAGATGACATGTATTTGCTTTGTGTTACAAAACAATTTATATAATGTCATACAATGTCAGGGAAAGGTTACATTTTGGATATGTCTATACGTCATGTTGCACGTGACCTATCGTTGCGTTGGCAGTGTAGCAAATATGGCTACACAAACAGCCAAAAACAAGGTAAAATTTTAATACAGCCATGTAGTCCTACAGTCCTAAAAGAATAACAGGAATGTTTTCTTAAAGGCATTTAAGGAAATTAACATAAATGTCTTTTAACATTAGATGATTTCAATGTGTCATGTCGAGTACATTGGTTGTGCAGTACACAACATTTTCTGTTCACCGCGCAGCTTAGTTGATAATTTTTAGTCCCTGTGTAATGATGAAAGTGATGACAACTATTGTGTTATCTGCTTGTTTTTTCTACCGCTGATTCTGAGGCCTAATGGAGCCTAATGTTTTAGTTAAGACGATAGGGGTTAGTCATATTTCTTTAAATACCAAATAGCGGTTTCAGTCAGTCGTGAGAGTTGTACAGTATCAGTCATCTCTTTGTCATTACAGCTTCACAAAATCACTATGACTGGCAATCCACAAAATTATTGTTAATAATCATCAAATCCTTACAAAGACCATTCCATTTAAATAAAATGTCCTATTTTATTTTAACTATTCATTTATTTATTTATTTTTTGCTATGATGTCTTGGATGTTGTAATTATCATTGCATGCACAAAAATGTTTGTCTGTAATAATTGGGCCTCAAATATTAAGAGGTTTTGGCTATACTGTACATCATAATTCATAGAGCATTTCATTTTTAAATGTCTGCCTTCGATCTTTTTAAATGTGTCTTTGTGTTATTTATACATTATTATTTGTTGCCATTATGTTGTTAAGGTGTGTTACATTTACTATTGTTCTGCAAATTTTTGCAGACAAAATCCTGTCATTTCAATACAAACCCGTGCAAATTTCACAATGGATTCAAGTTGGTCATGTGAATTCACTGTGCCGCCCAACAGAAACCTGCTTGGTTTTTTAAAGTCTCTTCTGTGTGAGCTGCGCATCGTATATCATACTACAGTATTGACAACAGTTAATGGAACTTTTTTCCCCCGCACAATTTTGCTGACATTTTATTAATGTGACTGTGACTTCTAAAGTCCAAAAGAACGCATGTAACGTTAATTTAATGACATATTTCTGCATTTTCATTAGCTATTACTTGTCAGAAGTAAAAAATCTTTTAAATGTTATTACATAAGTAATTAAATAGGCTGTAAATTTAAAGGCTTTGTGTGTTTGTGTTTTATTAAAGGTTTTCCGAACAGTGTCAGGATAATCCGTATGGATTTAATGGTGTGGTGGTGTTTGGAGATGAAACCTATGGCATGACCCCAGGATGTATCCCAGATATGACTGGCTACAATCAACACCTAACTAGGTAGGTCTATAAAATTAAATGAAAGAAATTAATCTGATGCACTCTACTAACCACCATAGTACCATCATGCATTGCAAACAGTTCTCATGTTTAAAGGAATAGTTCACCTAAAAATAAACATTTTCTGAAAATTTACTCACCCTCAGGCCACACAAGATGTTGATGGGTTTTTGAGAAATTTGACAGATGAAATGAATAATATTATGGATTGAGTACTTGAGTGTTACCTGTAAGCAACAGTTGAAGTGCTAATTTTTAGGTTAATTATTTGCTTTCTGACCTTTTTTTCTATTTGCAACAGAAGCGGAAATGGCTGTAGTTCTGGAGTCATCAATGCAGACAGCTGGAATGATGGTAAGATTTTCATTTATATATCTGTTCGTTTTCTAATGACATCATCTAATGAGCTCTTAGAAGTGTCATTTCTAATGTATGTCTGTTCACTATTTATTTGCAATAAACACTATGAAAACCACATTATCTTTTCCAATTCAGCTCAAGCATCTCGTCAAATGCTACCAGTGGTTCTATGAGAAGAGAGAAGATCATACCACAACTTTAACAATAACAACACAGAATATCAGTCACACTATTTCCACCGGAAATGCTAGACCATCCGGGAACCTTTGGGATACTCATTTTAACATAATACAATTTGGGACACGCACACTAATCCTTATTTAGAATATGATTTAAGACATATAGTATGTACATTGAGATAACAGGATGCAGCAAGAGTTATCATTACTGTCATCTTTATATTTGTTCTTGGTGTGACCGGGCCTTTAGTAAGAATGGGCATTTAGTACTGTATAGTGTTTAAATCGGTACAGTATCCTCAATGCAAACTATTATTGGATTAATTTCACATTTGTGTTGTTAATTGAATTTGAGGATTATTCATTATTAATAAATATTAACACCATGGATGATTGTCCTTTAAGTCAATGTTGTATTTCTTCAGAGACAGAATAATAAAAGTTCAAATATTTGACTAAAGCCAATTGATTTAAAGCTACATGATAGATATAAGTAAGTAAGCTTCTATTTAAAAACAGATTGACAGATTGGATCAGCCTGCTGCTGGACATATACGTCATCATTAGCAAGAAATCCATCAAAAAAAAAAAAAAGGTACTTACGATGATGATCTGGTGGGACAGTGATGAAACCGAAAGATCTGGCCAGTCTCCAAAGGTTGTACTAGCGCATAATATGTTGTACACCATGCCAGATAAGCTTGATTATTATACACTTTAGGGGGCTGTGTACAGCACTGGAAGGTTTTTTGTTATTTTTGGATAAAAATTAATCGCACTGTCGAAGTGGTCTTGACTCATCTGAAACTGAAACGAACTACATGTGTTGGTCTGTCCAGGACAGCTAATTTACCATTTAGGTGCCGCTAGGGGCGCTATGTAAAATGTCACTTCCCCTCCTCATGGGATGTTCATTGAACTGCACGAATCAACACAGACCCACTGAAGTGTTTACATTTTCAGTTGTGTGCTAAATTCAACATAAAATCTTAGTTTTTATTTACTCCTTTTAACGATGAGGCTTAATCCGCGTAACCGTTGAGTTTCCTTCATCAAAAAGTTGTAACGTTAATAATATCAACTGCATTCAAAACGATCGCAGAGAATAGGAAAGTTTTACATTTTTCCTGATCACATCCTCATCTACAGCATGGATCGCCTGGCGTCTTTTGGAAGTAAGTAGCCTACATCGTTCAGCAAATCACTGATCGGCTGTTCTTTCGAGGGCAGGTAACTACCTAAATGAGAAAAAGAAACGGCTCTGGCATTAGTTACAGAATTTTACCATAGTAACTGGGCACTAACAAAAATTACTCTTGTTCTACCGTAGGTCCTGTTAATTTTTTTTCTGACGATTAACGTTACCATACATTTTTACCGTAATTTACAGAAGACACTCACTAAAATGTCATTCAGTGTAACATTCATGTTACAAAAATCTTGTCAGTCATATTTAGAAGAAGAAGCATTACTAATTCACTGTCATTTTAAATCTTTACCAATCTTTGCCACTCTCCTTCAAACCACTGGGTTTTACCCATTTGTCAACAAGACAATCATTTTAATGATTTCAAAATATTATACAATTTAGAATGACCACTTTTTCTTTTTTGTTTTTAATAAGCACATGTATGAATAAGTGTGTTGTTTAATTTTTACGTAAATATATCTGTTACACTAAATGACGAAGAAACATTATTCTACCCATATTTTGACATTTTGTTTTTCACAGAAGTTATTAGAAAAAAAGTTTATTTTATTTTTACAACTTTTAACTGTCAGAATAATATGCTTATATTTCTCATTAGTTATGTTTTTCATTAATGTTATTGTTCAATAATAACTTTACAGTTATAATGTAACTCTCTAAATTTATGCCGTATCGTCTGTGTTAGGCAGATGACATGACCATTGTGATACATTTTAATCAGCCAAATTCAAATTCAATAAAATGGTTCTGTCATAACTGTGATATGAAGCTGGAAACTGTTAGCATGTTTTTGGGACAAGACATATGTCTGTTGAAATGATAACTCTTGTAAATAAACCTCATGTCTCTCATTTTAAATCTTTACCAATCTTTGCCACTCTCCTTCAAACCACTGGGTTTTACCCATTTGTCAACAAGACAATCATTTTAATGATTTCAAAATATTATACAATTTAGAATGACCACTTTTTCTTTTTTGTTTTTAATAAGCACATGTATGAATAAGTGTGTTGTTTAATTTTTACGTAAATATATCTGTTACACTAAATGACGAAGAAACATTATTCTACCCATATTTTGACATTTTGTTTTTCACAGAAGTTATTAGAAACATTAAAGTAGGCATTTTACTTGCATTTAGTATGCTTTTTATGTATGTGAAATCACTGTTGTTAATTTATTTTGATGCAAACACCAAAATAGGTTGTCTCGTCGACCCATATATCAAATTACCAAAGTATCTGATACCATCATTGTACTATGGTGCCACGCCAGTATTTGCAGAACTTGGAATATTGCAGTATTAAAATAAAATAAAAAAATTTTTATTCAATGTGATAGTAGTGATACATAAAAGTTTTAATGTTTATTTTATATATATATATATATATATACTCTTGTAAATAAACCTCATGTCTCTTCAGATGATCCTTTCGATAAGCCTCCCTGTCGAGGATGTTCCTCATATCTAGTGGAGCCTTACATTAAATGTGCTGAATGTGGACCGTCACCTTTCCTCCTGTGTCTGCAGGTGAGTCGCTGGATTGAGGGTCTCATTACTCTCTGACTGCACAAAACATATACTGTCACTGTTAATTTAATGTGTACTATATGATTTAATTTCTCTGTCGCAGTGCTTTACTAGAGGATACGAGTATAAAAATCACCAGAGTGACCACAAGTATGAAATCATGGTAAAGAGAGCAGTTTGTATTTAAAAATTATTACACTGAATATAAAAAGTTTATAAGCAAAGTGTTTTTTTATATGCAGACTGAATATTTAGATTTAAGATTTAAATTAATAGTTGTTTTTAAACATTACTTAATCCAGAAATGTGCAAAATTGAGACATGTTTTTGTTATTATTTACGTAACTTTAAAAAAAAAAATGTTTATTTGGATAAAATCATGTATTTTTTTTTGTGCCCCATAACTTGTATCCTGTCCAATATTGTGCCCATAAATGACACTTATGACACTTATAAATGACATTTATTTTGATCTACTTTCTTCTAGACATCAGATTTTCCCGTGTTAGAGCCTGGTTGGACTGCGCAGGAGGAGATGGCTCTGTTAGAGGCCGTCATGGACTGTGGTTTTGGCAACTGGTCAGTGTATTTCTTTACATCATATCTGCAACTCTACTTCTGCTGGTCTCAAAAGCATTGTATATCAGAGCAGAATGTCTTAAGTTCATAATCTCATGGCATTAAATGTTGAATGCATTGTTAAAGGGATAGTTCACCCAAAAATGAAAATTCTGTCATTAATTACTCACCATCATGTCGTTCTAAACCCGTAAGACCTTCATTCATCTTCGGAACACAAATTAAGATATTTTTTATGCATTCTGAGAGCTCTCTAACCCCCCATAGACAGCAATGTAATTAACACGATCAACGTCAAGCACATAGTCCAAGTCTTCTTCTCCGTTTTTAGTGTATCTCTGTGACAGAATTACAGCGCCACATGCTGGTCTGGCATGTATACTATATCGTTTTGTGTCGGTTTCGTGTGGATGCAGATTTTTCTTGAGACGAGGGGAAAAAAAAGATCGGATAGGGAAAGCTCTGGCTTCGTGTGGACGTAGCCTCAAAATAAATATCTTTCTCAATATTTTTATATTTTCCAATACAAATAAACATCCTTAAATCAAGATTCGTTTGAAATGCAAATGAAAATATGACGTCTTGTTTTGTTTAAAATTTAACAAAATTCAGTTTATGCTTAAAATATGAACTAACATCTGTCAATGGGGTATTAAAACTTGTTTTCCTTTTAAATTATGTTGATTTTTCTGAGTCCATTGGCAGATATTTGTTCTTGATTTAATCATAAACTCACTTAATTTTGATCAATTTCGCAGAAAGCATCTTATTTTTGTCATTTTGCTTGTCAGTTAAAGGGGTCATATGATGCAATTTCAATTTTTCCTTTCTCTTTGGAGTGTTACAAGCTCTTGGTGCGTAAAGAAGATCTGTAAAGTTGCAAAGACTAAAGTCTCAAATCCAAAGAGATATTCTTTATAAAAGTTAAGAGTCAACCACGCCTACCTAAAACGGCTCGTTCTAACACGCCCCCACATGTCTACGTCATGATGTGGGAAGATTTGCATAACGCCGCCCAAATGTTCACGCAAAGAAAGAAGGCGTAACTTTTATTCTCGCTGTAGTATTGTTGCTGCCGCCATGTCGTGAAGACGCTGTGTTTCGTTGTGAAAGCGAAACTACTTTGTTTGGCCTTCCAAAAGAGGACGATATCGCTTTGTCATGCCTGGAGCTGATCCGTGCTGGTCGCTGAGGAAATACTACAAATTCGTGCTGTGGATCGCCGGATCGGCTTTCACCGTGAACGAAGCAGAGTCCAGCCCGCATTTATTTTGCTTATTGTTAATACTGGTGTTGCTGCTGATGCTTTAAATAAAATGTTTTTTTATTGTTGTAGTATGAAGATTAATTTTAACATGAAAGACTGCTAATTTTCAACACTTTTTTAAGATGACTGAAAGGAGGAAAAACCAAAGTGAAGTATGGACTTACTTCACTCAGTCATTTATTTACTTTATAACAGTAAATAAATATCGGTTCTGCATATCGGTTATCGGGCACATAAACATGCAAATAATTGGTATCGGTTATAAAATATCAATATCAGTCGATCACTAGTTAATACATGCCCAAACCAAGGTATTTTCATGGTAGTTGTAGCATGATATTTTTTAAATACCGTGGAATATAATGTAAAATCCATCGTTTATGAATTTAGTAATCATATTTGTATAAAATGTGTGACTAGTGTTGTTATTGTAAACAAGAAATATGAAAAATTGTTTTTGTTAATTTAAATAAAGCTGTAATAAAAAAAAAAACATGAAAATGTAAAAAACCTTAAGTTCAAGCTGAAGTACAAAAATTACTAAGAAGGAAATCAATTAAAGCTGGCTATAAATTTATTTAACAAAAAACAAAAACTGCTAAACATGACAAAAGCACAGTAAAATTAAAATGAACACTAAAATTATGAAAGTAAAAGCTAGTTCAAAAATATGAATAAATGCTATATACATAATAGTAAACAACACTGCTAA